GAAGATGGCTCTTCGCTTGAATCGGGCAAACTTCATTGAAAATGTGTTATTGCATACACCAGTCAAACAAAGTAAGAATTGTTTTTGTGGCTTTCTTACATTCTTTGTGTTTTGGTGTTATATCTTTGTGTTGGAGATTTGTTTGCCAAATTTTTTTTTTTTTTTTTTTTGTTTTAGAAAACTTATATAATACGTTTTGCAGTTTTATATCTTCATTCTGCGGCAGTAAAAAAAAGTGAATCAAAAAAAGATTGTAAAAATGTTGCAGTTGATGTAGCAGTACGATCGTTGTCAGTGGCATATGCTGAAAAATTGCTGATATGGTTGGCCGATGGAAGCAATGCCACTGTCGAAAAGCATTTCCATTTTTGGCAGTTATGGATCAAAAGTTTATTGATGGAGCATGCTCATCAAATAAGACTAAATCGTGCGGCAAATTTAACTTCACTGACATCTCTGCAACAAACATTGTCTAATCATGCAAATCAATTGACCAAACTGTAAGTGCTGCAGTGAACTTGTTCGATTTATGATAATCAAAATGTCTGAGCTAGCATAGACATAACGTGGAGATACATGTGCATAACAGAGTTGCCATCGTAGAAACAATAAATCTGTTATTTGTTTGAAAATGAAACGAGCTCGGAGAGATACGAACAGCTCGGAGACGACTTAACTGCGTATGGCTTGTATCTGCGACTCAATTATATTGAAAGACTTTACACACTAATAGCTCAGCCGATTGCAAGAGCAGATCAAAATTTTAGATATTTGCTACAAGAGTTGACACACATACATAGAATAGGCGATGGATACTAATTGGAGACATGCAGCCCGGGATTAAAGGGCCTGTCGTATCTGCACGTGATGTGTGGGAGCAACAGCACTAGCAGGGAATACACATGCTTGTGTAGACCGAGCACTCTTGGTATTCTTGGTCGTGGCAAATGCTATATAAAAGTGTGATACTTCATGCAGGTAAATCAATTTTTTTCTTTGTTCATAA